CGTAACTGTAAAATTCGTTACCGTTACCAAAAAAATGTAACTTTGTTACCGTTACAGTTACCAAAGAAAAAAAGTAACGCAGTTACTAGTAAAGTTACCAAAAAAGTAACTTGTAACTGTAACTTCGTTACAAGTAACGAGTTACTTCCATTCCCTGTATATAGTGTATATCTAATGGATTCTCAATCAGTTTCTAATGTTTCTATCATTTTGTGTCAAAGACTAAGAAAAAATTAATAAATCCGTCACTGATATACATAATTAACTTTCGCGTATACATCTGTAGTCGTAATAATCATAAAAAAATTCACTCACCAGTCGCTGGCACTATGTAGGCACTCGAATCTACTTCGGCGGATGAACTGAAAAACGAGAGATAAAAAAGATAAGTATTATAAATTATGAAAGGTCTACGAAAGTACTAAATTTAAATAATTAGAAATATCAAAGAAGACCTACTTAATTGTACATCAACCGTCAACATCCTTTGTTTACGATATCAAATATGTCGCTTCAACTCTGATCTCACATACAACTTTTGCACAAACTCCACTCAGCCCACTCTAAAAAGAGCTGTTTTTTTAGCTAAATTTCTTGCATTATTCGTCTTCTCTTTTTCTCTGTAACTTGGAGAGAAAAGGAAAAAAGATAAACTGTGCAAGAACTTTAGTTAGAAGGAACAAACTTTAAGTGCAGCAAGTGCAATAATTTCCGAAGCGATGTCAGCGACATCTGTGATACAAACTCTGAATCTCGTTGTCGCTTCATTATGCGTGATTACACGCGGTCGACTGGGTTGCAGGAATCATCTGCGATCTCACTGTACATTTATGATATACTCGTAGAATCTTAAAACGCGGATACAGACAATTACAAGGTGAGCATAATGATCTGATTGTAAACAAAAAATGTAAGGCCTCGAATGATATTTGAGTCCACTCGCACTCAAACTATCATCCAGGCACAAATGCTAAAGAAACGAGGTTATTCGGGTATCTTGTGTCTATGATGTAATAGCCTCGCCAATGTCACTATATATAAAGAAATGTATTTCTTTCTGTAAAAAAATCAATCCTTTCTAGTGTGCCGAAATGTCTAATCTCGCTCGCACATTGCGTCCTTTCTTGAAGTGCGTTCGTAGTCAGAGTCATCAGAGAAGAACCTATGCAGATGCAGCCGACCAAATGAAATTTACGTTTGCTGGTGCTAATCAGGTATGATGGAATGAAAATTGTACAAAGTAATAAAGTATAAGAGCAATTTTCAGCAAGAGACAGTGGATGCTTTCCATTTGATGACACAAGTGTCATTCTATCTGTCACTCTCTGAATGTCAAGGATAGAATGATGCTTGTGTAGATTTGTGTCATCAATTGGAAAGCACCCAGTGTAACACAATAAATCACTTCCTTTTCAATATTAACAACAAGGATATATTCATTATATAAAACTGTACCAACTGTGTCTCTTACTAAAAAATAACCATAGTCGTAATTATGCTATAGTCGTAACATTTAAAATGCTTTTTCTTGGTCACCAGGTGTTCTATGATAGAGCTGTAATTCGGCAAGTTGATGTACCCTCCTTCTCAGGTTCCTTTGGTATTCTACCAAAGCACGTGCCTACATTAGCAGTTTTAAAGCCTGGTGTAATTACAATTTACGAAGAGGATGGCTCATCCAAGAAAATTTTTGTTTCTTCTGGTACAATCGCCATTAATGAAGATAACAGTGTACAGGTATATATAAAAATGTCTTCAATACATTCAATGTAAGAAGTTTCTTCATTGAATTCTACAATAGCTTTTCATTTTTCTGTAGATTTTAGCAGAGGAAGCTCATCCAGTAGAAAACCTTGATAATTCGGCAGCAAGAGATATTCTTAATAAAGCTCAACAACAACTTTCTTCAGCAACATCGGACGTAGATAAGGCTGAAGCAGGTATTGCAGTTGAAGTTGCAGAAGCACTTGTGCAAGCTACACAATAAATGTTATAAGTAATGTGAAATTACATATATATACATATATATACTTTGACACACTACCAGTTAGAAAAAGGCATGTATTCAACATGTGTATCATAATATTGTTGTATAGTGTAACAACAATAAAAATGTGTTAAATCATGTATATTTATTAAAACATTGTGTCAAATTTTATTTTATATTAAAATTAATGTAGATGCAAAAAGAAGTAGAGGATAGTTGTTATAGATTCTTTATTGAGTTAGTTTTTATATTTGTTCATTAACAACATAATAAATATGCTGCTATTTACAAGCTATTTAGGTACATTGATTTTATTGCAAGTACTTATAACAGCCATAAAAATTTTCACGCTAAAATTGTTAAAAATTAACATTTCTCCAATCTCTTTATTTATTATAATAATGCAACATAACACTAAATTCTAGTTAAAACTTAAAACTTAGTATCTTAGTAACGTTATAGCAATAACGTTACAAATACTTTGGATGTTTATAAGTATTTGATATTTCCTTATTAACTGAGGAAATATCAAGTTCTTTTTTAGTAAACGTGCACTAGCAAAAAGCTTTGCTCATATAGATACCGCGTAGATATAAACAATAATAATGTATAATGTTCTTAGGGTTAACGCTATGGTTTGGGAACATACATTCAAAAGTTAAATAAATAATATTCTTAAACATACAATTATATTATTACATCATTTTTATATTTACCATAAATAAAAATTAGAAAAAAAAGTAACGTTAATATGCTGTATACTTTCAACGCTCTTAAATTTGTGACAAGTTCCTCAACAATATATATTTATAGACCAACCATACAAGAAACAGCATATTTGTAATTCAGATATCAAAAAATATATTAGCTATTCATTTTTACGTTGCACAAAAAATGATGAAACATATATTTATAAAACATTTGTTTATGTCAAAATAACTTATTTATATACAAACAATTGTATATTATTATTTTGTTGCAATTATTCTGTGGATATTGTCAGTTATTAATTTTTTTTTAAGTTACGTTTGTGAACAATTATTTTGAAATTGCAGACATCTTGTATATTATTATAATTATGCAACAGTAATTTTGTATGTATAAACACTTTTGTAAAAAGTCTACAAATATTTGGCACAAAATGTATAGATTATGTTATATGTAGAATCTCTTAACA